CAACAAAACAATTTCGAAGAAAAAACAAAACCCATAAAATCTTTGCCAATACACAATTCAAAGAAAAAGAAAAAAAAGGAGAATGTGACTTAGCCACAAGATTTCTACTAGAAATTCAAATCAAGCCAAAGGATGTAAAGTTGCATTGTAAAAGAACGTACCTCTTGTGATGAACTAGTCAATAACTCTTCAAATTTAAGGCAAGTAGTGGATAGGGCTTGTTGTAGATGTGGGGTAGTATGAGAGAATTGGGTGTGTACAAGTGTGGGGAGGGAGAGGGATTTGAGAGAGGAAAAAAAATTTTGGGGTGAGAGAGATAAAAGAAAGGGAAAGATTGTGTTTATACAAAAAAAAAAAGGTTGGGCGCCACAGCACCCGGCTCTTTGTTAAGTTTAAATTAGTTTTTTTTAAAGTGCTGGCGCTGCAGCGCCCACTATGGGGCCGCCGTACCATTTATTCTGAAAAAGCAATAATTTTTTTTGTTATACCTCCAATGTACTCATTTCTGCATGTTGATCAGAGTGTCGATGCAATCATGTTTGAGCATATTTCTACAAAAATGAAAAGAAAGAAAAATTATTAAAGTTACCACGGAAGAAAAGGAAATGCCAAACTAAAGAAAGGAAATTTAGGGATAGAACTTGGGTTGCCTCCTAAAAAGCGCTTCTTTTACGTCTTTAGCTGGACATGGTTTTAATGTGGTTCTTCAAGGGTAATTTCTTCCATATCTCGATCTTCCTCTCCATAGTAATGCTTGAGGCGTTGTCCATTTTCCTGAAAAATAGACCCATTATTGCTTAATAACTCCACTACACCATAAGGGAACACCTTACGAATTACAAATGGTCCCGACCACAGGATTTAAGCTTGCCCAGAAAGAGTTTCAATCGAGAATTGAATAGAAGAACTAGTTCTCCTGCCTTGAATTCCATCCTTAGGATTCTCTTGTAATGCCACATTTTTGTCCGCTCCTTGTATATTTTCGCATTTTTATATGCATCATTCCAGAATTCCTCTAATTCATCAAGCTGCAACAAGCATTGTGGACCAGCAAATTTCATGTCCAAATTCAACTTTTTCACAGCCCAATAAGCTTTATGCTCCAATTCTACCGGTAGGTGACAAGTTTTCCCAAATACCAGACGGTAATGTGACATTCCAATTGGTGTTTTGAAGGTAGTTCGATATGTCCAAAGAGCGTCATCTAGTTTGAGAGACCAATCCCTTCTGCTGGTATTTACTGTCTTTTCCAAAATCTGTTTTATTTCTTTGTTAGACACTTCTGCTTGCCCATTTGATTATGGGTAATAACCAAGTGGCAATTTGTGCTTGACATCATATTTAGCTAAAAGGGAGTTGAACGGCTTGTTATAGAAATGTGTACCTTCATCACTTACAATTGCCCTAGGCGTGCCAAATCGAGTGAAGATATTTTTCTGCAGAAACCCCAAAATCACCTTTGCATCATTTGTTGGTGTGGCAATGGCTTCAACCCATTTAGATACATAGTCTATTGTAAGGAGAATGTATACCTGACCAAAAGAAGGTGGAAATGGACCCATGAAATCTATACCCCACACATCAAATAACTCCACCTCAAGCATATTAGTTAATGGCAGCTCATGATGCCTTGATATGTTTCCAGTATGCTGACAACAGTTACATGTCTTCACAATAGCATAGCAGTCCTTGAACAGATTTGGCTAATAGAAACCAGATTGCAATACTTTAGCAACAGTACGCGTAGGACCGAAATGACCTTCATAAGGGCAGGAATGGTAATGCTGCATGATAGATTGTGTCTCTTCCATAGGACACACCGCCTGATTATTCTGTCAGCACACCTCTTGAACAATATTGGGTCATCCCACAGATATGACTTGACATCATGTAAAAATTTCTTCTTTTGACGGAAGGTCAAGTCAAGTGGAAATCTTCCAGACACTAAATACTTAACAAAATCAACATACCATGGGATCCTTGTTGATACAGCTAGAAAGATCTCGTCTGGGAAAGTTTCTTGAATTTGACTGTCATCCACCACTTTCTCATTCTCTAACCGTGAAAGATAGTCTGCAACAACATTCTCACTGCCTTTCTTATCCCGAATTTCTACATCGAATTCCTGCAGTAGCAATATCCATCAAACTAGGCGTGGCTTGGCATTCTTCTTTTCAAAGAGATATCGAATTGCAACATTGTCTGTGTAAATGATCACTTTGGTACCAATGAGATAGGATCTGAATTTTTCACATGCAAACACTATTGCTAGCATTTCCTTCTCTGTTGTAGTGTAATTTAGTTGAGCTCCATTAAGGGTTTTTACTGGCATAGTGGATTGCTCGAAAAATCTTATCACGCCTTTGTCCCAAAATCGTCCCTACTGCGTAGTCAATAACATCACACATAACCTCAAATGGTTGATCCCAATCTGGCACTACCATCACTGGAGCAGTGACCAATTTTGTCTTTATGGTTTCAAACGCCCTTAAGCAGTCGTCATCAAATACAAATGTTGTGTCCTTCTCCAAAAGGTTGCATAGGGGTTTAGCTACTTTTGAAAAGTCTTTGATGAACCTCCTATAGAATCCAACATGTTCCAAGAAACTTCGAATGCCTTTGACATTGGTGGGTGGTGGTAGCTTTGTAATTGTATCAATTTTTACCTTGTCAACTTCAAGTCCCCTCGCAGAAACATGGTGGCCTAGCACAATTCTTTCTTGTACCATGAAGTGTCACTTTTCCTAGTTAAGAACCAAGTTCTTTTCCTCACAGTGTTGTAACACCAAGGAGAGATTGTGAAGGCAGTTGTCAAAAGAAGTACCAAACACCGAAAAGTCATCCATAAATACCTCCATAATATCTTCAACCATGTCTACAAAGATCGCCATCATGCATCTCTGAGAGGTGGCTGGTGCATTACTTAGCCCGAATGGCATCTATCTGTAGACAAAAGTCCCATAAGGACAAGTGAAGGTTGTCTTTTCCTGATCTTCTGGTGCTGTAGCAATCTGATTATAGCCCGAATACCCATCAAGAAAACAATAGTAAGAGTAGCCCGCTAATCTGTCCAACATTTGAACAATGCGATGGAGTGGGGAATGATCTTTTCTAGTTGCCTTGTTCAACTTCCTATAGTCAATGCATACTCTCTAGCCAATTATTATTCTAGTTGGAATTAGCTCATTGTTGTCATTCTTAACTACTGTCATCCCTCATTTCTTTGGTACCACGTGCACTAGGCTGACCCATTCACTGTCTGAAATGGCAAATATGATCCCTACCTTCAATAGCTTTAGTATCTCCGCTCGAACCACTTCTTTCATTGCTGTGTTTAACCTTCTTTGATGTTCAATGGATGACTTGTAGGTAGGGCTGTCAATGGATCGGATATGGAGCGGATCCTTCCAAATCCGATTCGATCCTTAAGAAAAATTATCTGATCCAATCCGATTCGATAATCCAACGGATGTTTGATTGTTAAATCCATATCCGATTTGCTATGTTATCGGATATCTGATCTGAATTTTTTTCCACCAATTTTTTCCAAAAAAAATATTTTAACTATCTTGATGGGCTCACCTAATATACTAGAAGGCCCAAATCAATTTTTTATCCAAGTGATGCTCCTTTAATTCCTTTTAAAGAAGATTTCTCTTCGAATGTTTTAATAATCTTCCTATGTGGGATACTACATTTTTAAAGGGTACTTCTCTTCTAATGTTTTAGTGGTCTTTTAATGTGGGATACTACTCAATTGTCAATTCTAAGTGTTTATTAGTTTATTTTATTATTTTCACTAAAAATCATAGCTTTAACAAAATTAAAATAAAAAACATCAATTTTAACAAAGTAAATTATTTTTGGACATATTAATTATTAGTTTTTGATGTTATAAAACAAATTACTATAGTTATTTTATCTTATTTTAATTAATAAAAAATTAAACCTCTTTGAATATTTCAAGTAAAAATATTATACTATTATCTAATATTATTTATTATTTGAAAATTATGCGTAAAGCATAATATAAGTTTCAAAATGGAAAAAATTATGTTTAATAAACTATGATATAATAAATAAAATATATAATATTATTATAATAAATCAGATTGGATCGACATATATCCATATTTGCTCCATTTAGTTAACGGATTATCGAATTCGGATCTTAATCGGATTATCGGATTGAAACCTGAAATCCATCTCCCGTTAATTTCATCGTATTCGGATCAAAATCCAATCTATTAACAGCCCTACTTGTAGGAATCTTCCATGAGGATTTTATGTATGCAGATTATAGGACTTATCCCCTTGATGTCAGCTATCGACCATCCCAAAGCGGCATTGTGCTCCCTCATCACTTTCAATAATCTGTCTTTTTCGTCCCTAGTGAGTGATGAAGAAATGATCACTGGAAATGCAGAATTGTCCCCCAGAAATGCATAGCGGAGGTGATCTGGTAATTGCTTCAGTTCAACCTTACTGCTTTTACTGCTTTCTTTGTCATCTGATTCCTCTGATTGTTGAATATCTTCACACTGTGACAGGTTGTCTTCAACTAGTGTAGACTCTAGAGCCAATATACAATCAACCAGGTCTTTGCTCCCTGCATATTCTCCAGAATTGCTGATGTCATCCTTTGTTGAACCAAATATCATACATTGCTCCAAGGGATCCTCAATGTATAATTTCTCATCTTTCACAGTAGAATCAATGAAGGCAATCCTGTGGCAAGTGTCAGTGTCGTCTGAGTACTTCATTGCTTGGTAGATGTTGAACCTCACCGCTTCTAGATTCACTCTCAATGTCAAATGTCCTCCTTGCACATCAATTAATGCCCTCCTAGTTGCTAAAAATGGCCTGCCTAAAATCAGTGGGATTTATTGATCTTCTTCCATATCCAATACCACAAAATCAGCTGGGAAGATGAATTTGTCAACCTTTACTAACATGTCTTCAATAATCCCTCGTGGGTATATGAGAGACCTATCAGCCAGTTATAGGGTCACTGTTGTTGGCTTGACTTCCTCGAGGCCTAACTTCTTGAATACTGATAACGGCATTAGGTTGATGCTTGCTTTAAGATCAGAGAGGGCCTTATTAAAAGAAGAGCTTCCAATGGTGCATAGAATATTGAAACTGCCCGAATCTTTTCTCCTCTGAGGAAGTTTCTTTTGAAGGATAGCGTCGCATTCTTCTGTTAATTTTACTGTTTCATATTCCTCCAATTTCCACTTCTTTGACATCACCTTCTTCATAAACTTTGCGTAGTTTGGCATTTGTTCCAAAGCATCTGCAAAAGAAATATTAATGTAAATTTTCTTGAAATTTTCTAAAAAATTTTCAAATTGATTATCAAACTTTTTCTTTTGAAAACGCTGTGGAAATGGAAGTGGTGTGTGAGAATTGGTGGTTTGATAAGGAAGGATATGGAGTAAGGTCTGTGAGCCTTATTTATTCCTTTGGCCTGCTTTTCTTGCTCTACTACCATTGTTGTTTCTCCTTGTAAAGTGTGGGGTTGCTGTCTTCGATGGGTTCACTTTCTCCAACTTGCTTGCCACTCCTCAATACAACGGCTTTACGGTACTCTTTTGGGTTGACTTTTGTATCACTTGGAAATTTTCCTTGTTGCTGAGACTTCATTGAGGTAGCTAACTGACCAATTTGCACTTCAAGATTCTTCATTATGGCTCCCATGTTGGACACATGTGTTTCAATATTATCCAACCATGATTCATCTTTGTTGAAGGGTGATCTTGTTTTAGAAATGAATGTCCCAAGGACATCTTCCAATGATGGTTTTCCTTCAGAATTTCGAGTGTTGAATCCAGGTGGAGGTTGAAGTGTGTTTCTATTGTTGCCATATGACAAGTTCTCGTGATTCCTTAGCCCTGGATGATAGTGATTAACCTGGTAATTTTCTCTTTGATTGTAGTTTCTACTGTTGACATATTGGACCTACTCGTTTGCAACCTCTGTCTCTTAGTGTGATGAAGAAGCACTCATGACTGAATCTGCCTTCTATTGATTCTCTTGAGTAGTAAGCGTGACTATCTGATTTGTGAGTGATGTAACCTGAGCTGCTAGTGCTGTGATGGGATCAACTTCATGAAGTTCTGTTACCTTCTTTATGCTCGATCTCTCACTTGGCCATTGGTAATGGTTGGTGGCTATGTCATCCAAGAAAGCATTGGCAGCCTTTGCTGTTTTAGTCGTTAAAATGCCTTCCATAGCTGCATCTACCATAGTCTTTGTCTGCCCATTTAGCCCATTATAGAATATCTCAATCTGCACCCATATCTGAAAACCATGTTGAGGACATCTCCTAAGCAAGTCTTAAAATCTTTCCCAGGCTTCATAAAATGTCTCGAAGTCGAGTTGTTTGAATTGGCTAATCTCACTGCGAAGTTGAGCTGATTTAGAAGGTGGAAAGTACTTGGTGAGGAATTTCTGAGCCAAATCATCCTAATTTATAATTGAGCCATATGGTAGTGACTGGAACCAAGCCTTTGCTTTATCCCTCAAAGAGAAAGAGAGCAGACGAAGTCTAATTACATCTTCAGTGACCCCATTCATCTTCACCGTGTCATAAATTTCTAAAAAAGATCCAATATGAGCATTTGGGTCTTCTATTGCAGCACTCCCAAACTGATTCTGTTGTACCATATGTATTAGTGCTGGCTTCAATTCGAAGTTGTTTGCAACAATTGCTGGGCGTGCGATGCCGGAAAAGTTGTCATTGACAACGGGCCGGAATAGTTGTCATTGACAACGGGCCTTATGTAGTCCCGAATAGCCCTGTGTTGGTTATCCTCATTAGCTGCTCTTGCTTCCTGTTCCGCCATTGCTTCCGGCTCATTTCTTTGTATGCCCCTTAGAATGTGAAATGTGCGTTCTGGTTTAGGATCAACAGGCAGTAGGTCCAGATTCCTCACCCTTTGCATAAACAGTTGATAAAAAACACAATGAATCTATTAGAGATAGACATAAAATGAAAAAAATAATAATGATAATAAAAAAATTACGATAAAAATAAAAATCTAAATTAAAATGAACGCCGATCGGTAATAATATCAATTGAATTCGAATGAATCAATCCCCGGCAACGGCGCCAAAAACTTGCCACGTGATTATATAACGTGATTTAACCGCAAGTGTATGGTGTCAAGACTTGTAATATAGTAAAGAATTTAAAAGTGTTGAACCCACAATGATTGATATTCAAATTCAATTGAGTACTATAATTGTTCCGATTTTCACTTTATTTAGACAATTCCAAGTTTTAAATGATGTTTTTATGATAACCTAACTTAATGGAATAAAGAATGCCAGTAAAGTGAGAATTTCTAAAAATCAAATCAAATTATGGATATCTAGGGATTGATTTCTCCATATTATCAACATGTTCTCAACTTCCATACCCATTTCCATCAAATTTTCCCAATTTATAGGCAAGAACTTTAATTTAATTCTATCCCCTCTCTCGAGCGCCAATAGAACCTATCTTTATATTTTAACCCCAATATCTCTACTTCGAATTAAACATATAAAGATTATTAAAGCTCTTGGTTCTTGTTTTAACCTCTCAAAGATTTGCACTACTCTCGAAACCTACAAATTTAGGTTATATTGTTCCAGATCATGTCTAAATTTTCATCTCTCGAGCATCAAATTTAAAGCATCGGTTCATTCAATTGTTGATCAGGAAATTGAAAGATTAAGCACAAAACAACACAAATAAATTTTGGAAAACTGAAAGAAAAAACTATAGTAGAATCAAATCAAATCTCAAATAGGTTGCATCAACCCTAGAACTACGAGTTTAGTTCATGCTTGAATTGATCGACGTGTCAAAATACGAGATAAAGAACATGGAAAAGAATAAATAAGAGTTCAGAAAAACTGATTTAAGCCGCTTGTTCTTCCCCAATTGGTTATCAATCTTACTACAATTCAATTTCTCTTCATTGCCTCTTGAATGGATCTTCGCTATTGCACCCTTTTTTCACCTAGAGAAAATCTCAGAAAAGCGGCTACCCATTCGGTTTTTAGTTTGATATTTATATTATCTCTGAGTTTTGGATGGTTAGGGAGCATCTTGGGCCGAGAAATATCCAAAAAATTGGACTCTTCTGTGTTGCGAGGTCCGATGGGCGCCGCGGCGCCACGATGTATTTTTGTGCTAGCGCCTAAGTCTAGCCCCGTGGTGCCAGCTATTCTGTTGTTTCTTTTTACTCCGACGCCCAGCTCACTACTATAAATTCTCTTTTTGTTGGGCACCGTGGCGCCCAATTTAGACGTCGTAGCTCCTAACAGAATACTCCTCACTTGAATGCTCATCTTCTAATCTTCTTTCCCATTGCAATCCTCTTTTCTTATCTCTAATTCATGCCCCTATTTTAGATTCATCACAAGCTCCCAATTGTGGCGTTTTCTCGAATGTTGATTGAGCTGCAAAACAACATGAACACACACATCAAAACGTTCAAAAGTGCTCAAGAACAAGCTAAAACCTATGATTTAGAGGCGTTAGTTTAAGAAGTGAATTACACTCATCAAGGAGCAATAAAATGATTTAAAATTTATAATAGAACATCTAAAATTATTTATTCAGGTTGAAAATATTAATTATCATACATACATTAGGAAAAATAATCTACATATATAGAAGTTAACAAAATTAACTAAATCTTTTTACCAACATGCCGAAGATACTAAACATCCACGTGAATTTCACATATACAAAAATTAAAGGTAGAATTAATATGTGGCAAAAATAATTGTGTAAGAATCAAAAAGCATGAATTAATGTATTTAGGTTACAGTTAGGTCAATGATCGTGGCGTGTGGGGTCGACTCGGCAAAGAACTTGGGGACTAAGGAAGTGTTTGGAAAGTGGATGTTGGCAAAAAGAAAGGAAAAAAATAGTAAAGATGATGACAAAACTTGCAGTGATTAAAGAAGCGAACGACAAAGGTATTGTCCAAATAATATTTTATATCTTTAAAGGCAAGAGCAAGAAATTGATGGTAGCCTCTTGGACACGAATTGCCAGGCACGAATTGATGGCAGCTTCGATGCATGAATAATTAGAAATGACTTTTAACCATTTCAAAAATCAATTACAGACATAAGTTGGATGCGTGAATTGATAAAAAAAAATATGTTATCAAATTAATTTCGATACACGTGATAGAAAAAATTCAACTTGAAAAAATTACTACCTTCACTAGATTTTGAAAAATCAAGTTATAGTGCTCATAACGTATGTGTAACAATTTTAATTTTTTTGTTTAACATTATCAATTACGTTACTTTAAAATTATTATCCATATCATTCATTCCATACATAAGACGTGCAGTGCATGTGCTTACTATTACTTTAATTATATGACATATAGGGAGCACCAGATTCCATACTTTTCGTAAATGAGAGAAATCCACTAGGGCAAAACAATATTAAACATATTAGGAAGAATGACAATTTGAGAATTAAGTGGACTATACTGGTGGGGTCGTAATTCTAGTATTTTTAACTCTTTGAATTACACCCTTTTAATTTGTTTTCATAGAGTCGATAAAATAGCTTGGAGCAAACCATCGAATTTGTTGATTCGGAGAAAAGGATGCATCCTCACACCCAACTTCTCATCCTCTTTATCCCCAAATTCTTCATTATTATGCATATTTAATGTTATAGATAGAAAATTTTTCCGAACTCCAATTAAACAATTAGCTGATATAGTTACCCAATACTTGAGTGAGACTAAGACTACATACGAGGTGTCTCCTAGTGGGAATTTACTTAATCGTACACAACGAAAAATAAAATAATTTCAAATTTCACAAAGGATCTACTTTGTGTTTAGATAGAAATTATAATAGAAATTATATCTTTATTGAATTTCTATAAACTCTTTTGCTTTTCTTGAACTCCAATAATAACAATCTAAAATCCACAGCTATCCAATTGTCTAGCGTTTAATAAAAGTTCACACATGGAACAAGACTGAAAGAACTAGAGTTTTTACTTTTCTTGTACTAGCAAGAATATGAATTTTTTTTTTAAAAACCCTAACAGCCTATTAATATAAGTCCAAACAAGCTTGGCCCATCTCTTAAACTTAACCCGATCCAATAATTAATTAATTCAATTATTCAATTCGAGCGTTTTAATAAGCAACCCAATTAATTAATTATTAGACACTTGTTAATTATTGGTGAATCTCATTCTTCTAGTTTTTGTTTAGTTTGTAATCCATTAGGTTCCCAATTACAATTCCTAACGACGTGAATTATTATTTTGATCTAATCAAAATTGATAAATTAAAACTTCTTTTTAATTTACCATTAATTCACATTTATCATCCCGTATTGACATCTAACAATGTGTCAGAGCAATAAATGTGATGAAAAATATCATGTTGTATGACAAACCAAACTTATTCGTTTACCGTGAAATTATAATCTCTTTGTTAATATGATCCGATCAATTACGAGGTATGGAAATATATCAATATCGATTATCGATCCTATCTTTTTATTCCACTATTAAATCAATATAAGTCGAAACTTCTTTTTGATTTATGAATACATCTTGATCGAGGATTTCATTATCAACTTAATTGAATAAAATGTATATCATAATTTCTTACTATTTAAGAGTGACGAATTATCTATTGGTCATTGACAACCTTCACATAATTCTCGACATATCCAAATGATGCTGTATTAGCTACTCTTGACGAACAATATCCAATGCCACCAAAGTATGATTGTTCTCTTATAAAGCACTATAATAATCTCAAGTCAAAGGATCAATTCTACTATCGAACGTTAGAGATTAACTACTGATACTCAAAGAGTTATCAATGTGGAATCTCCTCAACGGGTCTCTAATGTTTCGTTTTATAATAAAATATCCACGTGTTCATTTAAATGTCACCACATTTTAGATTGCGAGATTAGCTGCTTACTTCACAAGTAAGAAAAAAACACTTGATGGTCTATTTATGATAATGATATCTGTATCTCATTATTACATATGACCATGGATGATTTAAGATTCAGTCATATGTAATCTATATCTCACAATTACAACTTCTTATGATTAACAAATTACCAAAACTTGAATCTACGAATTCTATTATTTTATTTAATTGAGTATTAATTAAATAATAGATCTGTCATAAAATGTTATCAATTATATATTAAAAGTATTTATGTTCAAAGTTGATTGGACGTAAAGTATAACACTTACACCTCCAACCTCCTTCTCTTTTCCCAAAATTCTCACCTAATAACTTAGTTGATTGAGTGTGTTTTGACCGATTTAGCATTAAATTATGTAAGACCAATTAACATGACCCACATAATATTATTAATGAATTAAGTGAAAATTACAGCCCATCAAAATTTTAAGATTTACATGTTTTTATTTCAAATATCATATGATAATTAAAATTTTAAATGTTAATAATTATATTACAAAATTAAATATACATATTCATCCTACCCAACCACACACACCAAAACGGCAAAACCCTAATCATTTTTGCCCTTTCATTTTCTCTCCTCTCTCTATCCCATATTCTCTTTTCTTTTCTAACCGTCCCTTTCTACTGCCGCCTCCCTAGCACCACCATGTTATCACCACACTCAACCAC